TATTATTAGAATACTTGAGGGAGAGATAAAGTGAAATTACTAAATTTTTTTCCCATAACGAAAGTTTTAGCCGCGTAAGAAAACTTTGGTTTATCAAGTGCAGAAAATTAGATTTGCGCAAATCAAATAAGACTTTTTTTAGTGAAAGAAATTATTACACGCTGCTTTATTTGTGGTTCATGAAATGTTAGGCCCACTAAAATATGCGAAATTGATAAAGTTAAATTTTTTTGCACTATATATTCTCCTACATCAGGTTCTCCTTTTTAATCGCATAAAAATTTGGCCAAAATTTCATAAATGCAGAAACTCTGGTCTATCAAGTGCAGAAAATTAGATATACACAAGTCAAATGAGATTTTTTCTTTTGCTGTTATTTTTAAAATATGTCATGTGCTCGTGCCACTATAACAACAGAACAGCCAGATATAAGAAGAACTAGAGTATATGCAAAATTGAAAAAAAAGTTATAAAAAATAATAAAAAATAAGTATGAAAATGGTGAAAACGGTGATCAGTAAATAAAATAAATAAAAAAGCAATAAGGAATTTCCCACCTCTATTCCTAAACGATCGTTGAAGCATTAAATTTATCAATTTTAAATGAATTTTATACTGTTTTCTTATCGCGAAGGTCGAATCAAGAGATCGCATATCAAGAGATATATCATTTGATTGATATATCATTTTTCAAAGAATTTCAAGCACTTTTTTATCGTTTTATACCAAAAAAGTTGAATAAAACTTTTCATCTCGCTTTATGAAGCCTTAAATTATGAAAAATTTTACTAAAAATGAGGAAAATTCTGGGAAACAAATATTTAAAACAACCATGAAAACGTGCTTATATTTTTTCAAGTATATTTGTAAGTTCACTTCAGGAGTTGAAAAAATTTTATGACTTATAATAACGTCATTGATGGCACAAGTATCCAACCGCATCTGGATTAAGCCTGAGAAATAAATTTATGAATTTTCAACTGCATATAGTAGAAATTCTATCGTAATATTCATTATATTTTTTCGTTAGTTATTTACTCGCAAGCATATTCCGGAAATATCGTTTATAATTATACCGCAATGTGAAAAAAACTGTGAGAAAGAAAAAAATGGCAAATTTCGGGAAATTTGATAAAAATGAATTAATAAAAGAATTCTTTATCAAAGATTTCAACGATATCTATTCATTATAGATTTTTTTTGCATAAATTTAATTTATTATTTCTGTTTTTTTTACGTCGTTTTGCGAAATTACGAAAACAACGACTTTTTCCTTTTCATTATGCACATTTAAATGAATTCTTTAGAGAACAAAATCTCAACTTTTTGAAAATCTATTTTAAAAAATTAACTTTTTGACGAAATTTTGTACATCTTTAAGCACTATAAATTATTATTGAAAGTTTATGCTTTAGCAGCATATATAATGAAATTGTTTTATCAAAATAAATGTGATAATCCATCTAATCTATTCAGATCTGTTCGTATATGTATCTGTTTTTGATTACCTCTAAGAATATATATACGCAAATAAAATGAATATGCCAATGCGAATTACAAATTGTGCAGAGGATGGAAAAATATCCACCGAGAGGAATGCGTGACATATGTCTCGTCTTAGGAAAACAATGGAGTTCAAATAATGTAAGGTGAAATTTTTTTGGCGATTCATTTAATATTTTCGCAAAAGTGATGTCTGGAAATTAGCATTTCTTAATAAAACCTTCACATAGTCATGTATAAGCAGATTTAATTTTTATGAGCAGAAATGAATTGAAATGGATAGATTTAACCATCCATAAATGCATTTTTCCGAGAATCTTGAATTCATACTTATACTTATGCCAAGTAGTGTAGGTGAAATTCTAACGCTCTACTACAGATATGGCATCTCATCGAGTGCTTAGAAACGCCTTACTCTTAGCCAGCGAAACTAGTTTAATTTAAAATGGTGCGGAAATGATTATATTATTGACTTATACGAAGATGTAGATTTTTAATTAAATAAGTAACATTAACAATAATATTAACGCCATAGTTAACTGCCGAACTGATTGTTCGAAAATGGCAAAATAAAAAAGAGTTAGCATTCGCCATTTCTGCTTAAAAATGATTCATTGGCTCGTCCATAAGCTGAATAAGGCAGTTCGACAAAGAGTACGAGCATAAGAATAAAAAACAGGTTTATACGGCCAGATGTTAAATAATGGCTAAAATTTATAAAATGTATAAATTACCAAACTACCAAATGTATAAATTCGTTAAAAACTTCCATTGACCAAATATTCACTAAAATTATTATTGGATACCGGATATTTTTTATAATTTTCGCTTATAAATGAACATTTCGATCAGAATCATAATACGTCGCTTTCTTTTTATTTTTTTTCAGACCTATTCCATCAATTTGAGTGAAGATTTTTCTGGAGAATTTATAAAGCAAATTCTATCGCATAGTTTATTCAGAAATATTATTCTGGCTTTTAATTATTGAAATAATGCAATAATGCAACAAACAACATTTTGATTTATGAATTAAGGAATAGAAGGAATAGTTTTTAAATGAGGTTAAAGCAAGTTGCACAATATTTTTAGATGAGAAAAATTAAGCTGTTTCTAATATTTTATTAGTTTTTTGTGCTAAAAATTAAAGGTTATAGCGAGATGTATTGTAAAAATTATTTATCTGAATTAGTATATCGACATTTGATTTTTGGAATGAATCAAATGCTTGCAATAATTTTGAAGAAGAAAATTTTATTCAGGAAGAAAATACACGAATTATTCACAATAAAAATAGGCAAAAAATAAAAAACAGTCGATAATTTCCAATAATGCAAAAAGGAGGTACATTAAAATTAAAAGAATAAGAATAAGAAAATTAAAAGAATAAATATAATAAGTGGCGAAAAATAAGTGGTGTGCTAAGAAGCTGAAGCCGAGAGCTATAAACGAGAACATAAATCTAATTTATGCTAAGTACCGCGCTATGCGCACAAAAATTTCACGCTTTAAGTATTCACCACCATTCGTGCAAACTCAAGCACATGCCACTTACTGTCTAAATTTTGATTGAAATGTGCCATTTTTGCTGAAATAAACGTTTGATTTATATTATTATTTTTATCGTTTATATTATTTATTTTTTTGAAAAATTATCAAACACGGCCTAAACTTTAAATTAATAGATATAAAAAAAAGTTTATAATAAAAAAACGATAAACGATAATAATTTTGAAGCACCATTTTGCCAGAGCCGATATATATTGACAGTGAAAAAAAAATACTTAATTATTCCAGTTTATTATATGAATAAAGAAATTTTACGACGTAAACCTTGGTTTATAAATAGATTTACAAAATTTCAAACCATGAACTTTTAAGGCATTAGATTTCGAGCTGAATCGTAAAATTCAGTGAAAACTTTTTCTAAAAGCGCTCAGTTATTCTGGAATAAGTTCACTAGGCACAACTCGAATCTTTTAATTTATTATTGTAATCATTTTAGTTAGACGATTATGCCGGAAGAAAGAATCACTATGACGCCCTTAAATAAAGAATATATAGTTTTTACATGGAAGGAAAAAAATGCCGACATCCTTCCTCTATGCTGAACTACGGTGTCATTGAGAAATTCGGGTTTCATTGAGAGTTTACTTATATTTTTATCCTAAAATCATTCCCTAGATAAAGCCGTAATTCTTGCAAAAAACAACGATTTTTTGTTTTATTTATTACAGATAGCTCCCTTGAAAAAATACATGTAAATTAAATTTGTTTTAAACGATAAAAAACGCATAGAAGGATTAGTAAAAATATTGAAATTAGCAAAAAATTGGCTGTTCCTAATATTCTCTTCTGGATATTTCTAATGTTGTTCCTGGAATCTATCGCAGTCAGTTTTTTAGTAATCGCAGCACTAAGTGCTTCTATCGCCACTGGGACTATTTTGGTCTTCACTTTCTACCTCTAGTTCCTCTTTCTGTTACTAATTTTGTACCATCTTTATAGCTTTTTCCTAATATTCCTTCATTTTGCATTGCTATATCTATCATTAGTATTCATAAACCAGTACTTATTTACCCATGTGGATAGAGAGATCGCACAGCATATTGGTCTCTACGATTTTCTAAGGAATATTCTACATAGTCATGGGAGGATCTAAAACACAAGCTGAACAGCTGAACAGATATTCCTGAAGATAATGCTAGCTACATGATTTTCAGTGCGAGCTTTTCCTGCCTACATTTTACATCTTGGACTATATATACTTATATGTTGGACAGTTTCTGACGTTTTTTTTACACAGCCCGCATTTAGAATCCTATTATAGTAGATCCATGCTTCGACATTGAATTTGTATCTATTTTTTGCTGCTATGATCTAGGAATGCCTCCGTGCTGTCTTTTTTCCAGCCACTGGCAGAATTCCTAAACTATCTGTCGATGATATATTCCATGGAGAGTCTTGCTTTGGTGCAACTCATTCTTTGGTGACTTCTTATTGATGACTTGTACCTGAACTGATGTACTGCTAGTCCCATTACATCAGTCCTAACTGATTTTCCTGCTCTTTACTATCATTCAGTCACATTAATTCACTCTAAATGGCATGCTAAAGTCTTCACTGTAGATTCATGTTAGATGAATATGCGAGTCGATGTGCTTTTAATATCTGTCAGACGATCACATAAAGAAGATGGCTGATGGAATTTTGTTTTTAAGCTCGCATCTTGTGATTATCTGTGATTACCTACTCTGATCGTCTGAGAGGGCATGGATTTATACAGGAAAGGAGCGAGAACAATGTATTGCTGTAATGCTGAACTTGATAGCCACTTTGTGCAAGCTGTTTTAAGCGAGTCTTTTTCCACAGTCTCATTGAGTTAGTCTCAGTAAAATTCTTCAAAGCACTGTTGATTTTGTATGAAACCAGGCATTCTTAGATCCATATATGAGGCATTGAATTATAAGCTTTCCTATTGTCAATCGCTGTGTCAATTAATGTGCATTGAGACCTTTTATGCATGTGCTGCATCGTAGCTTGCATAAAAATTTGTAAAAATTTGTAGAAAAATCCAAAATCCAAAATGTATCACCTGAAATGGCGCTTGCTATCCATATAATTTTTTGCTTATCCGTTGTTCCAGCAGATTCGATAATCGAACCCGTATAGTACCTGAAATTCTTAATTTTCTGTTTTCAGTTCATTTCTTCAGCAAAATGTTTATAAACCTTAACAAATATAGTAAAATATAATAAAATGAAAATGATAAATGTAATAAAATGATTTTTAGCTCGAGCTTATTATTATTTGCTATAAATTATTGTTTTTTATGAATTTTTATGAATGAATTCTCCACTCAATACAAATAAATTTTTGCAAAAATTTTTTTCTGAAAATATTTCCACAAAAAATATTACAGAATCAGCTTACATTACAGTATTAATGGCTGCAAGTTGTTGAAGCATTTGGAGCATACATCCTATGATTAATGCTTTACGTACATGAGGGGTTTTTAATATGCGCCTTATGATAAATAAACCTTAAATTTTTTTAAAAAAACCATGAATCTTTCAATAAGAACATTAAAATTTTAATATAACCAAGGTGGTCTAGGTAGGATAGAAGCTTTTCAGTGGACCAGCATCCAGATTTCTTAATAGCAAGGTTAGTCCTGCTTGGAGAACGATCCGAACCATGGTACTTGGAATAGTCTAGATAATCTATGCTAAACAAGTGGAAAACTTAAATCGACTTAACTTAAATCGTAAAGAAGCGTAAATCTGTGGTTGCCATTGAAAAAGTTTAAAATTTGCAACAGGATTTATTAAGATTTAATTTTCACCTTTTGTAAAATGTATTTTAGCCGATTCTTCTTGTTCACAAGCAGTCGCTATTTCATTAATCTCGAAATTAATCCATCTTTCATCACCAGCATAAATTTGATTCAATACCTTTAAATTTCAAAAATCGCTTTAAATTTAAGTTAATATTGTATGAATAAATAAGTTTTCTATTTTTCCACCATATTTGATTGTTTTAAACTCAACTTCTTCTTTTAACAGCTCTCACTATTACTAGTTTCGCTGGCTGCAGGGGAAGTCCCCAAGCTGCTCGGTTCGACGTCATCACTAGTAACAATAGAAGCCTTTCGTTTTTCCATCATCTAAGTCCACATACGGTGGTTCCTACATGCGTTTAAAATTTTTGCTGACTATATTAGTCCAGATCTTGATTGGCCCACCTCGATTTTGACACCATCCATCACACGTTTAGCTATTAACGAAATATGCGTCAACTTCTGCGGTGGACCACGGCGAAAACGACGCTCTTTGATAACATAATTAATGCAGGTAGTATTTGAGCGGAGGTGGATATAATCATGCGCGATTTTATCTGGTCGGCGGATCCGTAGAATTTACCTTAGATATGAGTGGTCAAAGGCTTCTTGATATCTTCCATTCTCATTGGCCATGTTTCGTAGCCATATAGCAGGATCTTGATTGGCCCACCTCGCTTTTGATGGTACCTATCAGGGTTTAGCAAATAACGAAATATATGTCAACTCTTGTGGTGAGCGATGAAGAACGTGTCGCGTAACCAGTGAAGGCGACGCTCCATAATGGTATTGTTAATTCAAGTGGTATTTAAACGAAGGTGGATGCGATCATGTGAAATTTTATCCACTCGGCGAACCCGTAAAATGCACCATATATAAAATGCACCATAGACATGAGTGGACAATGGCAGGTAACTTTTTAATATCTTCCATTTCTAGCTGCCGTTGTTGTAATATCGTCTTTTGTCTGGACATTCGGTATTATAATGGATCCAAAGTATTTAAGATCAGTATTTAAGATTTAAAGTATATAAGATCACTTCTTCAACCGGCAAAAAATTTATAAAAAGAGGCATTTTTCGCTACATTGGCTCTGAATTCGATTCTCGCTGCAGTTGTTGATATTATTTAGCATTATTTGCATTTTCTCAGCAAATAGGACATCATCACTATTAAAATATCAATGATCTCTGATACGATACTTTGGACTGACTGACTTGTACATCTCTTGAGTGCCGACAAGCTGTGTCCATTATTCAATCTCTATCGCATAATTGAAATTGTTGGGGGCAAAGCCTTAAAGGACACCAGTAATTATCTCGAAGGAATCTCCCAATTTCCCATATGTATAGATCTGCCAAGGTATGATGATAAAATGCCTTTATGAGTCGAATGATCTTCACTGGAACACATTCCATCACCTTCCAAAGCGCTGCTCTATCAATTGAACCGCAGCCGCAAAGACGATGAAACAAGTAAAAATGCAAATATTTGAAACGATATCCCAACACCTTTCTTAAGAATATATCTGGTCAACACAACCGCGGCCTGGCTTGAATCCAGGGCACTTTCTATCTCATGTGCGCATAATCCCACTGGCATGGATCCGACTCAGTGGAAACTTATCGCTCAAATTATTAAAGTTTCTTTTATTTGCATTTCTTCCTTTTTTCTGTTGAATTTTAATTCATATATTTATATTATTTTCACATAAGGTTGATTTTCTGCAATTTATTCGTTAAATACGCATTTTATTTATTTATTTTCTTTAATAAGTGTTTTTAGAAGAAAAATCTATTTCCATTTTTCGACTTGGCATATCAGGGATTTGCGAGTGGAGATTTGGATGCTGACTCATGGCCAATTCGTTATTTTGTTGAACAAAATATAGAACTGTTTGTCGCTCAATCTTTTGCCAAAAATTTTGGCCTTTATAGTACATTCTTTCGACTTTCAATAAGGCTTTTTATTATTAAATTTTGTTTAGCTATATTACTAAAATTAATCAGACTTGTCTAGATGAAAGAATTGGAAATTTGACGGTTGTAGTTAATGATCCGTCAGTGCTTCCTGCTTTTAAATCTCAGATGTCTTTGGTGATTCGAGCGAATTGGTCCAATCCCCCAAGTCATGGTTCGAGGATTGTAGCTATGATACTTACAACACCTGCAATGCGTCAACAGTGGCTTGACTCTATGAAGGTAAAACCGTACAGTTATGGGACAGTTAATTTTCAATAATTATTCTTTGGAGGTTTATTGAATATTTTTGTTAAATTTTTCTTCCTTTTTTCTTTTCTTATTTCTGAGAATGTTTAATAATTGCTTAATTAATTTCACTTTTTCTTCTAACAGCTCTAACCATTACTGATTAAGCTGACTGCACTGGCTACAAGGATAAGACGTTTTTGAACTACGCGGTCTGATGCTATCGTCGACTGTACGTTCAAAATCTTTCCTTGCCGTGTCATTCCAGGTCTTAATCTTAATTGATCCTCCTCGCTTTTGATGCCACCCATCACAAATAATGAAATTAACTTTTGAAACTTTTACAATAAGCGACGCAGAACGTGTCCTAATCAACGAAGGCGATGACATTATTAATACAGGTGATATTTGAGTAGAGGTGGATGCAGTAATGTGGAATTTTACTTTCTCGGCGAAACCATAAAATATACCTTAGACATTTGTGGTCAAAGGCAGATATCCACTCTCATTGGCCATGTCTTGCAGCCATATAGCATTGAACGAATCCCTATTATATAAGACACCGCAATTCGTTTTTATGCTGATTTCGCGAGGGTTCCATAAAGGTTTCGTCAATCGATAGAACGCATTTCTATCTGCCGTTATCTGGGTTGTGATTTCGTCTAATGCCTGGCCATTCAGTGTTAGAATGGATCCAAGGTTTTTAAAATTTGGCACTTAAAGAGTTTATAAAAGGCATTTTATCAGATTTTTGTATACAAAATAAAAAGGCTTTTGTTTTATTTACATTGATTTTGAGTCCAAGTTGAAGTTGTTGGTGCATTTTTTAATATTTTTTGCATTGTAACTGTCAGCAAAAAGGACTACATTATCAGCCTATTCAAAATCTGTGATACGATGCTCTCGACTAATTTGTATATCTCCTGAATGTCGACGAGCGGTATCCATAATCCAATTTCTCGCATAGTTGAATATTATAGCGGAAAGAGCGCAGTCTTGACGGACATTAGTTTTTATTTCAAAAGGATCAGTTGATTCCCTATATGCATAGGCCTGCAGCGACATACATTGAAATACCTTGAAATGCTTCTATGAGTCCAACGATCTTCTCTGGAATACCGTTGCGTTTATCACCCGCCAAAGCGCCGTTCTATCAATTGAATCAAAGGCAGCAGCAAAGTCGAAACACTTGACGATGTATTGTAAATATTTGAAGCAATGTTCCAACATCCTTCTTAAGGTGAATATTTGGTCAGCGCAACCGCGCCTCAGTCTGAATCCAGTTTGATTAGGGTGCATCCTGCTGGCCCGTACTATCATAAGTTATTGGATAAAAGGCAAGCAAAAATTTACGCTGAGACGTCTAGTAGGCTGATTCTGCGATAATTATTGCAATATATCATGTCACTTTTCTTCCTGAGAATCGGGAGCAGAATTGCTTTACCCCAGTCTTCTGATATTTTCTTTTACCATACCAGAGAATGGATTTGTATTTCTTGAACGTGAGTTATGAACGATGATAGACGACATTTGAAGAGCTCGAAGACCATCTTCTTCGGGAGTTTTATTGGCCTTAGGTTATAGATTACAGACAAACCTATGGCTTGATGAACTTCAGCTATATCCGAGACAACAGATGGTGCATCGTGGTTAATTTTAACCCCAAAAAATTTTTTCATATTATGAGGCGATCCTTAATAGTGCCTTGACAGGCGCCTCATTAATATCCCGTATCATTTCGCTGACTTCCTCTTGATTTATAGCTACTTTGTGAAGAAGATGAAATGGTTTCCTATCACTATCTAATCGAGTCGCTGTTTCCATTGTCTAGGCCATATCGTTCCAATTTCTATCCCGCCATGTCGTTGTCATTCTTCGAAGCACCCAGTAGTCAGGATCTCTTGATATTCGAGCTTTTTCAGATAGTTGAACAGTTGCTTCCGACACCCAATTAATGCACTATTATACTTTAATGTGGAAGTGGCTGACTTTTCTAAGCATGTCTTTAGTTGAGACCAGTATTCATTCGCCCTTCCAGAAATGTCACTGAAATTCATTTCACTGAGGTGTTTTAATAATACGATTTGAAATGCTCTTATTGTTTTCTGATTTTTTAATTTGAGATAAATTTTAATATACGTTATTTCTTACGACTTCTCAGTTTTATACGGATCTTGGTTTGAACCATAATCTAATCTGGTCTATGGCGATTACCAGTTTCAGCATCCCGATAAGAACGACTAACAAGCACAGAACTTTTCCAGCGGTGATTGACCAATATATAGTCAATCTGATTGAAATATTGGTTATCCGGAGAGTTCCACGTGATTAGATGTTTCCTTCAATGCGGAAAGGATGTATTAGAAAGAGTCCATGCTTTTCGGCAAAACAAAGGCTTAGGTTTAGGAGTTCCACGTGATTATATATTATTATTACATCCGGATCGCCTATTTATCGCATGCATAGCGCCAGGTCAAAAGTATCATGCACGTCGGAAGACGCAGGCATCGCGTAAAAAAGACTTGATCCCTTTCATCATAGAGTCATTTGGAAGCAAAGATACACGTATGGTCTCCAACAGACACCCGGATTTTCGGTGCCATGGCAGTTTTATTCCTGTCAAAGACAAAAAAATAAAGATAATTAAATCTGAAAAAAATAGAGATTTAAAGATAATTAAAAAAATAAAAATTTAAGAAAAAAGAAAAACTGTTATTGTTGTTATTATCAATAAGCAAAGAAGAAAAACAAAAATAAACAAATAAAGAGGGAAGAATAAATGCCGCTTTCTAAATAGTAAACTCAGAATTTAATTCAGAATTTGAGAAGTAATTTAGCCATAAATCACGTATATCTTGTTGAAAACGACCGTTCGCTATAAAAAAGAACTTTTAAGGTCAATTGCAAGTTTTTTCTTTTTTTTCTGAAAATTTATACTATTTCTTGTTCGATTAGCTCCACTAATTACTGTAAGCGCCAAATTCAAGACAACACTTTTATTTAATTTCTGTGACAATTTCGCCCTAATATTTTTAAAAAACAGCCTACATTTCGTGTTCTTTGGTGTTCACCATGTTTATATAAATATCTGGGGCTTTCGGGAAGGAAAAAAAATCCGATCAGCTGGATTATCGCTGGCACCACAGCGCAGCCAAGCATAAGTCTCCAACCTATATTTATTGGATCTATATGAGACAGACCTCCTGAAATTCACCTTAATGGCAATCTGAATGACTATTTTGTTCAGTCAGCAATAATCTTTTTGGTCTTTTGTTCTAGAAATTCGTTCACTATTCGTTTAAGCCATTTACTATGACTATCGTTTAATGAAAGTTTTTCTGAACGTTCTGTTTTCCAATCACGTATCACTCAACAATAATAGGGTCCAACGTAAATAATTAATCATTTATGTCCAAGATTATTTAAAAAAGTGAGGTTATTGAGGAAAGTATTTGCAAATTATTCATGAAATGGATTCTGATGCATTTTATGGAAGTGTTATTTTTTTTCTCATTAGAGAATCATAATTATTTATGTTTTGCAATAAAATAATGGTAAACTTGCCAGCGATGAGATTAGAAGCCATTAAGCCAAAGGTTATCATAAGTTGAAACCCTGTAACAAGAGTTCCTCTTATATGCGATGGAGATGTCTCACTGACATATATCGGTACAATCATCGATGAAATGCCTGTAAAAATTTCCTACCTATTTTATTTTCTTCTTTTTCATGTTTTATTTTTAAATTAATTATCAAAAAAGCGACCTGACGAGACTAAATCATAAAAAACTCGGTTGGTGCTGACGGCCCATTTCTATTTTATTACAGAGCGATTCTCTGACAAAAGATTTCTATTTGTGCTGAGCCTACCAGAGGAGCTAATTTAACCATAAATCGTGGTCAATATATTTTAATATCAAAAAATGTAGGGAAATTTACCAATCGCAGCTCCAAGAATCATTCTTCCAATTAAAAGGGTGACTTTCTCAATGGCTATTGCACACATAGCAGATCCTATAGCAAATATAATGCTTGATACAATTATAACCTTCTTCCGACCAAAATGATCAGAAGCTGGGCCAGCTATTAGTGATCCAAACGCTGCTAATCCTTTAAAGTTTTTTAGATAAGTTTATATCAAAAATAAAAAACAATATAAAATATAAAAGATTCAATAGATTTTTGATAATTTTTTTGATTTTATAAAAAAATTTTTTCAGTTTAAAATTTCAAAATTCAGTTTCAAAATTATACCTCTTCCGTTTAAATTAAATGCAAAAAAAAAATGACCTGTCGGAACCACCTAACTCAGAAAACTTGGAAAAAATAGCGATGAATCTATTAAATCCATATCTTTAATGAAGAGATAAGTAGGCTTAAAACAAAGTAAGCAACTAATTACTTATCATCAGTTCATAGAAGAATACCGCAGCCAATTTATTGAAATATTCTGCGGTGTAATTCTTCGAATGTACTCGCCCCAGCCACCGCTTCATGAGCTCCAAATTTGAACTGCACTTACGAATGCAAGATTACAGACAAATTGTACTTGAATAAAGTTGATGTAACAATAAATATTAATATTTTAATAGAAATATTCAAAAAAATTTTTTTACCTGGTGTTAAACTAACAATGATTTCTTTCCAAAGAGAGCCAATTGGTTTCATTCCCTCATATTCGGCTATATACAACATCGCACTGGATATAATCCCTGTATCGTAACCAAAGAGAAATCCTCCGATAACGGAGGTGAAAGCCAACAAAAAAATAAAATATCCAGTTTTAGGATGATGCTGTGGTTTCCGTGTTTCTTTGCTCATGCTTTCTTCTTTAGAAATGAAATGAAACTACTGCACTTAAAAACTCTTAAAACTATTCTGTAAAAAACTGCAATTAATGATGCTTTTAAAATTATAATAATTAAAATCTGAATAGTGCAGGGAACCCATGCGTGCTTTCATTCCCTACTGTCTTGTAAGAGTGCCACGCCACTAGTAAATGTACTAACAAAATTATTTATTTATTTAGAAATGGTAGAAATGGTAACGTAATTGCTTTTAAAATGAAAAGAACTTAAAAGTATTTTCATTAACTCTAACATGTCAATAAGTGGATAGATTTTCCTAGTAAATCTCTAATATAGCTTATTATCCAGTTTTCTACATGATTTTTTGAGAATTTTAAATAAATAAATCTAATAAGATATTCATACTCAATACCAAATTTTGCTTTTTAAAAAATAAATATTTAATTCCGGAGTGCGACCACTATTTGAATTTTATAATATTATACATTTGAATTCTGAATGAAAATTCATCCCCAATGAATCCATTTCATATAATATAATGAAACGAAATCCAGTTTCGCTCAGTATTTATAATTGCGAGAAAGATCGCTAAATAAATATCGGAGACCTCATTTGTATAGTTTTTTCGATAATAATACTAAACTAATTTGAACGACAAAAAATCCAGATAGCCAGATAACATTGGCCATTCAACGAATGGCTTATTGGAGAATTCCATAAATAATAAATTTTTTCCCTTGTGGGAAAAATCAAATGAAGTCACAAATTTTTCTGGCTTACTGAAAATATAGATTTCTCAGATTTTTCACCTTTTCCTCAGCTAATTTTACTCAAATTCAGTTGTTTCGTGAAATTTTAGTCCATTTTTTTTTAAAAATCAATTTTAATTTACTGTTCACCTCAACTATTCGCTTCTATGGTCTCTTCAATAATAATTTAAAGTAAGGTTTTTTAAGAATAAAAGTTTCAAAGGCTAGTCGATAGTTTAGAAAACGATTTTCTATTTCATTAGACTGAAAAATATTAAGTCATTTCCTGAAACTGTGGTATCATAGCAAGAGTGTGGATCCCTTTGCATATATTATATTTGTTATACTTGTTGATTGTTGACTGTAAATATTTCTTATTAAAACTTTCCCTTTCCTATGCTCACGTCAAGATTACATTAATATAGTCAAGCAAACTTCAACAAGATTTCAACAGGGCTCAGAAGAATTTCGATATAGATGAAACTATAGCAATTCGATCGCGAATAATGCTGGATATCCATGTATACTTCCATCCTCTATCTTTGGTTTATTGTAATATCATTCGCATTTTAATAAAAAAGTGAGAAAAATTGAAATATCAGCTGATTTAACGGAAAAATTAATCGTTTAAATAAAACTATATTGAGATAAATTTTTTTTTGTTGTCATAAATATGTCGAAAAACGATGGGAATAATAAAATTTAATGGAATTTTGATAAAATCCTTTTCAATATTTTTTCTCATCACTAATTGGGAAATCGCATATGACGAAATAGTTTCAGTAAAAAAATTCTTTCTCACTCCTAATTGATAGGGTCATTCTCTATCTCGAATTCTCTACTAGAGACTTAGGGTTTGAAAGCTCTTAAGCTTAACAGTTGAGTTAGTTGTCCCTAATAATGCAGATTTCAATAGAATTTAAGCATGGCTCTTTTGGGCAGATGTTATTGGAATTTATTGAACCACTCTCCTAGTTTATGTATCATAATCCTTGGTACCGCCACTGGGACTATTTTGGTCTTTCTTTCTACATCCTCTCTATTTCTCTTTTAAACCCTGGTATTCCTCTAACTCTAACCCTGGTATTCTAGCTTTTTATATTTCTTTTTCCTCGTGCTTCTTTCACAAGAAGTGGATGTGAGTTTAAAAACAAAATTCCATCAGCCATCTTCTTTATGTGATTGACAGATATTAAAAGCACATCGACTCGCACATTCATCTAACATGAATCTACAGTGAAGACTTTAGCATGCCATTTAGAGTGAATTAATGTGACTGAATGATAGTAAAGAGCAGGAAAATCAGTTAGGACTGATGTAATGGGACTAGCAGTACATCAGTTCAGGTACAAGTCATCAATAAGAAGTCACCAAAGAATGAGTTGCACCAAAGCAAGACTCTCCATGGAATATATCATCGACAGATAGTTTAGGAATTCTGCCAGTGGCTGGAAAAAAGACAGCACGGAGGCATTCCTAGATCATAGCAGCAAAAAATAGATACAAATTCAATGTCGAAGCATGGATCTACTATAATAGGATTCTAAATGCGGGCTGTGTAAAAAAAACGTCAGAAACTGTCCAACATATAAGTATATATAGTCCAAGATGTAAAATGTAGGCAGGAAAAGCTCGCACTGAAAATCATGTAGCTAGCATTATCTTCAGGAATATCTGTTCAGCTGTTCAGCTTGTGTTTTAGATCCTCCCATGACTATGTAGAATATTCCTTAGAAAATCGTAGAGACCAATATGCTGTGCGATCTCTCTATCCACATGGGTAAATAAGTACTGGTTTATGAATACTAATGATAGATATAGCAATGCAAAATGAAGGAATATTAGGAAAAAGCTATAAAGATGGTACAAAATTAGTAACAGAAAGAGGAACTAGAGGTAGAAAGTGAAGACCAAAATAGTCCCAGTGGCGATAGAAGCACTTAGTGCTGCGATTACTAAAAAACTGACTGCGATAGATTCCAGGAACAACATTAGAAATATCCAGAAGAGAATATTAGGAACAGCCAATTTTTTGCTAATTTCAATATTTTTACTAATCCTTCTATGCGTTTTTTATCGTTTAAAACAGATTTAATTTACATGTATTTTTTCAAGGGAGCTATCTGTAATA